CTCAGACTGTACAAATGGATTCACAAACAGTTGATTTCTGTTCTCTTGCTCTTGCTTCACACAGGTGTTGGGGGTCCCAACTGAGGATACCTGGCCAGGACTTTCCAAGCTTCCCAACTATAAACCAGGTACAGTCTCACTGAAAGAGCTTCTACATGCACTCTGAGTAACTAACCTTTTAAGAACTGGATCAGTAATTTTCCATAAAAAAATTCAACGCTTTGCAGAAATTAGGGGGGTTTTAGTACATCCCTAAAGCTTAGATTGTTTTAACATTTTGTTGTACCAAGTGCTGAAGAGTCAGGCTTGGCCTACACTAGCACTTTTGTTGGCAAAATTTTGTCAGTCAGGGGTGTGAAAAAACACACCCCTGACTGACATAAGTTTTACTGACAAATGTGCTAGTGTGGACAGCACTATGTTGGCGGGAGATGCTCTCCCACTGACGTAGCTACCGCCACTCGTTGGGCGTGGTTTAATTATGCTGGTGGGAGAGCTTTCTCCTGCCAGCATAGAGCAGCTACACAGGAGACCTTACAGTGGTGCAGCTGCAGCACTACAGCTGTGCCACTGAAAGGTCCGTATTAGACAAAGCCTTAGTTAGGGCTAGTCTACACTGGCAAGGTTAAAGCGCTGCTGTGCCACCTCCACGAGGGGAATAGCTACCAGCACTGGGAGTGCGGCTCCCGGCACTGGTGCATTGTCTATACTGGTGCTTTACAGCGCTGAAACTTGCTGCGCTCAGGGGTGTGTTTTTTCACACCTCTGAGCGAGAAAATTGCAGCGCTGTAAAGTTCCAGTGTAGACAAGCCCTAATTAGTCTACTGCTCAACTTAAAGGGCCAGCATCTCCTATTTTACACTGGACAAGGTGACAAATACTTTTAGGTATGGTCTATCTATGCCTTTTATTCTTATGGAGCTGAGGTCTGAGGCCTTTAAACCTTGTTTTTAAAGGTCACTGCCCCTGATTTTGATGTGGGCAAGGTGAGAAGTGTGTGTGATTTATAAAGCTGGTTTCTTTTATTTCCATGCAGGCTGGTTGAGAAGTCCTGAACTTCAAAGGGCCAGTTGTTTCTTATTTTGATGTGGGCAGGTTGAGAAGTATGCTTTGAAAAGCAGGCTCTCGCTCTGTCTCTTTTTAATGTTTTCTCCTGGGATATATTTCAGAGCAATATATCCAAGTGTCAATGAGGGGGAAACGATGAGCACTGATTCTCAGCCTCTCAGCAGGATCATTCTCTAAGAGAAATATAAAAGTGAAATATTAAAAACCCTGGAACGTGAAATCCATCCATCCGCAGACCTAGCCAGTCTCTCTCACTCACTCCCTGAGAGGTGGGAGGGGGAAATATCTATCTTGAAAAAAAGTGGAGGAGGGAAAAGAAGTGCTTTGAGCAAGAGGTTTACATGTTTAGTAGAGCATAGTAACATCCCTTCAAAGGAGTGGGTGTTGCTCTGTGACCCACTCCAAGACACCCCTCCTTTGACTTCAGCACTTGGACACTAAACATCCCCCATTTTCACATGCTAACTGTGATTGGATGAACAATAACCTGGTCTCACATTCTAAAGGACTGGAATCTTTCACACAATTAGCCGAGACACATTAATCAAACTGGCGTGAAATTTGGAATGTGTCGCCTTCTGCAGCAACTTGCTAGTCTGGCTGGGAAGGGAGCACAGAGCAGACAGTTGGGGGGTAATGATCGGTTTTCCTCACTAAACGCTGGATTGGGATACTCTCACTCATAACAGTGATCAATATTTTATAGCACAAACTGTTCCAGACTGCTTGTGGAATAAGGCAATCCTTATGCAACTAAGGGTAGCATAATCTGACCCAAGGAAGGGAATTTTCTGATGTCACCAGAATAAACAGGGCCACTCACAGGCAGAGTTACTGTAAGTTTTAGCACCAAACTCCACCCAGTCCAAACTGTACACATTCAAATGCTGTCCCAGGTGACTGTGATGACACCAGAGCTGATACACTTCCATCCGTGGGAGGGGGAGAGGGGAGGGCAGGATTCTAGGCAGTCTTGAAATTGTTTAAGTGAAAATGGATCAGGCCATCTTAAGCAGCTCTCTATCTGGTTTTGAAACTGCTTCATCTGAAGTGGTCTGAAAACCAGTGAGAAAGTTTCCACAGTGTAGACAAGCCCTAGGAATTCAAGAGGGCAGAGCAGGCTTCCCAACTGCTGTGGGTGGGGCAGACCGGGGGCATGGGAGCTGGTGGACACATCCCTGTATATGTCCCCTCTATTCAGGCACCCACATGGGGGAAGGAAGAAGGATGTGCTGCAGTCCTAGCAGCTACTGAAGCCACTTCTTTGTAAACCAGCAAGACAGATTCCTTTCCCGTCCTCAGAGCCCCCCCGAATGACTCCCGCACACACCTGGCGGCTCTTGCCATACTCTCGAGCCAGCATTTGATTCTAAATCAGGAATACATGAACCCGTTTGGATAAAATAAGAACCAACCTGGGCATCTGCCCTAGACATGAACTGAACCAACCCATTTCTGGTGCGGGGAGAACGGGGGGGAGAGGGAGGGATAGATGAACAAACATGGTCTCTTTTTTTAAATGTATTTTTCATTTGCACACTGTTCTGCACTTTCTGCTTCCACCCAAAGCAAAAGTGCTGTTATCCCTAAGATATGCCACGCCTGAGGGGAGTATGTGGAGATCAGATGAGAGAACCTTTTCTCTTGAGATTATTTCCAGCCCAGCTGTGCCAATCTAAGTGGCTGGGATAGTTCAGCTAAGCAGACAAACTTTTGAGTGCTTCTCCAAACCTAGATACGAATCTGCATATAGCTAGTACCATTGATGTTCACAGCACTGCACTATAAGCACAGATAACAAATAACCAGGTCCATGCCTGGAGACACAAAAGGAGAATATCACAAAACAAAGCACAGAGGGTCTGATCCTATTCTCATTGAAATCAACAGGAAATCTCCCATTGGCTTCAATAGCACAAGATCAGCTTCAGAACTGAGGTTACCTCACCGGGTTGTGGTCGGAAGGGTTCCTGGACTAGATAGGTCCGTAGGAACCTATTAAAATGGAACCTCCAGGTGTACCTGGCACCATGAGGGGCTCCCCAAGTGCAGCTTTGCCACAAACCCTGACCAAGGTGGGGCATGCAGTTGTGCAGGCCCTGGGGTCAGGGCTGCAATCACTTCCTGCCCACAGGAGGGGAAGTAACAGCCCCATGGAGGATGCTCTCTCCTAGCCTGTACAAGGCAGTAATAGGGCACCTTAAGCCCCTATGCTCCCTTGCATAAAACAGTTCAGAATAGGGCCCTATATTAAAGAAAACTCTGTCCTTCCTTTACATCATTTTAACTCAGCTATTGTTGCTTATGGGCCAAATCCTCAACCGAGTCCAAAACCCAACTGAACAGGAAGGTGAAGCAAGGAAGTCTCCCTCAGGCCAGAAGCAGTGCCCTCGGCTGCAATGTCCACAGGCTAGCCCTTGCACTCCCCCTCTTTACTTAGTGGATACACATAACTGTGGATCCATGGGCACCCTGCCCTTACTCTGACCCTGCCTGCACGGCTGCAGAACCAATCACTGCAGCATGTCATGGGTATGGAAAGTCCCTGTCTGGCCTCTCAGTGGCCCACCTGCCAGTTCCATTGCACTCAGGAGCCACTGTATCCTCAACAGCAATGGCAAGACTTTGCCCTGTGTTTGTTCATGTTTTTGTCCCTCTCCTTTTGCTTCCTGTGAAAGAGGCAGTTGTAGCTCTGTTAACACTATTTTTGAAAGCTCTCATGCTGTGTGAGCTCAAATCCTTGCATTAATCTACTGCTGTGTTCATTTCACCACACTGAAAAGCAAGGAGTTTAAATCCCCTCTCAACTCCATTTGTGGCACGAGAAGGCCAGTGTCTTGATCCACCTCCACTAATGGTTACAAGTTAGACTCTAGACACCAGGGGTCAAAGGCAGGAAAGAATTAGGAATAATAGCACATGACAGTAACCAATGCTTTTGCCAGATTGTAAATTAGTTACTGATATGCTGAGTTTTTCACGTCTCCACTTTCTGACACATGGATTCCAAAGGGAAGGGAACAGTTCATAATGTTCTTACAATTTTGTTAGCACTAGTTGCCTTAAATGCCTTTTACTGCTGAGCAACAGAAGAACATTTGGTGTTTTCTATGTCGGTTAGTATCATCTCAATCGTGATAGATGAGTTTTACAAGGAAGTTCTTCCAATGTAGCAATGATATTTAAAGCAAAAGAGGCTCACTAGTATCATTTATCGAATATATGCAGGCGGCTCTGCTACCAGGAATGGGATTTAGATGCATGCTTCTAAAAATGAGCTTTTTTCCCCCCTCCTCCAAATATAGAGGCATTTTCAGTGTCCCTTGCTTTTTCAACTTTCCACCAGCAGATGGAAGCAAGAAGCAACAAGCACTGAAACACCAGCATCCAATTACATTTTTGCATACAAATGAAGTCTCAGCTCTCAGAGTGTGTGTTTTTTATTTTTTTTTTTAATCTCACTTTCTGTACTGTAACTATGGGATAGAAAGAAATTGAATCCTAAAATGATGGAGATCTTTATTTCGTAATAAACTGCGTATAGTTTTGGTCCCAAAGGGAATAGGAACCCAGGAACTCATGAGCAGTGCCATCAGTCTGCAGGGCAGCTCGCTATGCCTGGCATTGGGCATGTACTGCAGTCTATGCCACACAGCCACACTGATTCTGTCCTGCTGCACCACCAGTTTTGCTGATGATAGATAAATATTTTCTTGAGGCAAGGTGGGTGAGGTAATGTCTTTTATTAGACCGACAGAAGTTGGTTTGAAGAAGAGCCCTGGGTAAGCTTGAAAGCTTCTCTCTCTCACCAACAGAAGTTGGTCCAATAAAAGATTTTATTAAGATGATGTTTTAAAAAAAAGTGAATGGTACAGAGCTTAAGCATAGAAGTTTCTGGTTATCAGGGAATAACGTACAGATTATCAAGGTGTGTGAAATTCGGTTTAAGATCAGGTGGCATAAGGAATACATAATCTGCAATATCCCCAACTGGGGGTAAAAGGTTGACGGGACATTGACATTGTTCATATAATGGCTATGTTCGGGTGCAGAGTATAAT